CAAGCAGGATCCCCAGGACAAGAGAAGATAAGCAGGCAACCACAATCACCCATACCAACAATAAAACAACAAACCTAGAGATGTGTTCACCTGGAGGTCGGAAACACAATTACTGAGGACGAGGGGGAGGAAGGGGCTTATTAAATTGTGTCAGTATTGTTTTTTCTTTAAGGGAAGAGCTGGTATCTCACATAGCTGTCCTGGAAGACGCTTTGGGAAAAAGGCTGTAAAACAAATGCTACCTCTCTCTTGAAAAGTCAACCCAAAGGCAAGTATTTAGCTCTTGTTTTCAGGTAACACAGATATTAGTGATTCCTTTCACAACAGGGCTGGTTCACAACATGTCAGCATGTGTTACAAGTGGGCAGCAGCAGACAGAACAGCTCAAAGCTTGGCCATTAGCAGTGCCAAGTTTGTTAACGTCAACATGTAAAACCATAAATTCATTTCCACAAATATATATATTTTAACCTCCTTGGCGGTATTCCCGAGTGTAGCTCGGGGTAACATTTCAGTACCAAAAGCTAACCCCGAGCTACACTCGGGAATACCATGCGGCGCTGCTCCGGCATGTGTTCTTCACTTACCTTACCCTGCGCTCCCACGATGTGTCCCCTGCAGCGTACCCGGCCATCTCCTCCGGCCGATGCCGGCATCCGGCTTCTGTGTCCTGTCCCTGTGACGTCGGGACGTACGGGCGCCGCCGGCGGCGGGAAATTTAAAAATTTTAAAAAAATGTCATTTTTTTTTTTTTTTTTTTTCATTTTACACAGTAAAACATTGCTGTTTCAACCTATTTCACATACATATTGTCCCTAGTGCTTTGTCCTGTGCCCTGCCTGCATTTGGTCTGTTCTTTCTGCCTGGAAACTGAGAAATGTCCATGGCGTCCAAAAAGTGTCCCTTTAGGTCAAAAGCGGTTTAGATCAGCTAGAGAACAGCGATAGTAAATCAGAACCACTTACAGAATTGAGTGATAATGATTCGTGGGGGAAATTCGTCATCAGAAACTGAAAACGATTTTGCGACTGAGCTCAGCAATGTGCGAACTTGGCGCTATATTTCACATTTCAGTGTTTTTGGTTTGATTATATTATTGAATTAAATTTTTTATTATTTTTATATTATTTTTATGATTATTTATTAAATTATAATTTATGATTTTGTGTTTCAAATTTTATCATACCCGGGATGTTTACTAGACTCTTGTTTGGACAGATTTCAGTGAGTTTTTCCTAAAAATTACAGCCTACAATAAAAAAAATACATATTTCCATGCAAAAAAATGGTACCGCTTTCAGCACCAAAAAATCTGAAATAATCATACCGCCAGGGAGGTTAAGAAACAGACTGTCAGCCCCTTCCTCCTCACACTTAGTTTCACTTTCTTCTTGTGCAGATCTATTCCACTCAAAACAATCAGAAAAATATTGTTTCTATTCTATTCACTAAACTTCTTGAAACTTAGCACTGAAGGGGTTGATTCTGTATTCATAGGTTTGTAGAAGTTAGGATTCAGGTCTTTTTCTTAACTCTGTTCATGTTATAACATTTTTGCTGTGAAGAAGAGGCATGTGATCACCGCTGAGTCAAATTCAGTTTTGAGAACTGCAAAAGTAAACCAAGCATCTGTGATAATATCTTGTAGGCAGAGAAACTGCCCAATAATCTTACAAAAACCTCTGGAAGAGCATGACATTGTGAATGGATTCATGGAATTTATTTACCAAAAAAATTAAACGTATACAGCCTTATTCTACATAATTAAAAAACTAATCTTTATTTCATGATGGAATAACCTTTGGATGGCAATATATTTTCCTCAAAAAGCATTTTATTTTAAAAAAAAATCCGATTTAAATTAAAAAAAATCCAATTTAAATCCAAAAAATCTGATTTTTTTTATTTTTTTTTTTAAAAAAATCATTAATTTTTATCCACCCTGCTGACAGTTATCATTCATGGCATGCCTACAATGTAATCTTTTTGGGAGACAGTTAAATGAATGGGTTTAGTTCTGCTTAACACAAATGCTTTTGAAGTTTGTAAACTTACTTTGTGAAGACCCCCACACATTTATTTCTTTTATAATTCTGTGACATTTAGTCACTGTGCCATGTGAGTAGCACTGCTGTGTCACACATTTCACACAGCCTGCCTTCGGAAATACAGAGCTGCTGAGAGAAGGAGCTTCAGGAATCACTGCTTGGGGCAGCAAGGTACCATGGGATATGTAATCCTTAGGAATTAAAGTGGGTGTAAATCCAAAAAAAAATAAAAAATAAACTGGATAAGTGTAACTCACTGTAAAGCATAAGAAAGCATCTGTCCCTAGTCTCAACTACCAAAGAGCAGCCAGTCATTTTTAAAATCTTGCCCACTTTACTACATAAAAAAAACACTACATTAAAAAAAAAAAAAAAAAAAAAAAAGTGTCGCCACACACACTCTCACCTGTGATCGACTAAGCATTGTCATGAACGAGCAGTGGGCATGTGTCCCACAACTGTGCACTACACATCCACCTAGATCGCTCCCCCTACCTCCTCCAGCCCCCCTATGTTTGGATGGTCCTCACTGCAGCATAGTTTGTCAACATGAAGTCAGGTGTCACCCTCCTGGATATTCTATTGGTCGGGTAGCCAGGTAGCTTTGACATGTGCACTTTGCTTGGGCTGTGTGCCCACAATTTCTGAGCCATGAGTGCTGCTAAGCTATGCTACTGTGCTTGTGGGGAGTGTACAGGTGGGAGGGGAGTCAGTGATGTCATGATTCCGCGTCCTGAGCTCCGACCCATGGACCGGAGACATTCACAGGGCTGCGACGGGAGCAGAGATTACAACAAAGAGGTACAGATAATGTGATTTAGATGGTTAGAAGACAAAAGCATAAAAAGGTGCATGTCTTTTCATATTACTTATTATGGGATTTACGACCACTTGAAAAGTAAACAGCAGATGAGAAGCTGCATGCAGAGAATCGGGAAGTTGTGGAATGAGTTCAGCAGCAGACAAGAAGAATTCACAACATAAAAGAAGAGTTTTCATATAGGCTTGTATTAAATATAACAGTTGTTTGTATTGCTATCACAATGCTGATGTTATAAAATGGAAGTGTACACTGTGACCATAGAACTCCTTTAATCGCAATGTGTCAGCATGTCCTTGCCGGCACTGAAGATGCAAGAGTGACAACGCTGCCCTAGTATCAGAAGGTGGGTTAGTGTTGTCACTCCATTACAAGAAGTTGAAACCTATGCACTGATCCAGCAGGCTCAGTGAGTAGGTTTGTGTGTTCACACTGAAACATCACTTTTAGGAATCGTTTACACTTTCATTACTCTTTGAAGAGCGATCTGCATACAGATTAGACTTCAGAGAGCATTTGACAGGCCGTGAGTAGGTGCTGTATCACCTCCTCATCACCAGTTTTAATCCTTTAAATGTCAGACAACCACATGTATTGTGTGAAGTGGCAGCGTGGCCTCACTTGAATGGGCCATGTTTGGCAGCCAGTAGTACCTGCTAAATGCGACGGGTGTAATTCCTCCTGCAACTGTGACATATGTGCACACACGGCTCCTGCCTTTGCAGCTAAAGTGGGAGTGATTAAATGATAGTAAAATGTGTCTAAACTGCATGATTTTACCGCCCATCAACCCCTAGTGTTGACAAAACCCTTAAAGCAGAATTTTGCACTCAACGTATGAGCAGGAAGAATGTTTACTGTGGAATAGACATGCTATGTCTTCTCTGCAGTAAAGTCCAAGCTGTGCCCCCTCAGCTCTGTGTACAGCAGTGGTGCTCAACCTTCTTGATATATAGAGCCTCAAGTGCAGCCCTCAACATCACCAAAGGTCCACGCAAAGTCAGTGAAAATTCAGTGTCAGATACAGCAGACACACAACAAGAGAAGGTCAGAGACTGCAGAGGAGGAGGAGGCGGCGACCCAGGGAGACGGGCAGGGACTGCGCAGGAAGAGTTGCAAGAGATGATCAGATACCGTGCAGGAGGGGACACAAGAGATTGTCAGACTATGAACATAACACATGAGATGGTCAGACTGCGGGGACATGCCACAGGACTTGCGGGAGACTGGGGACATGCCACAGGACTTGCGGGAGACTTGGGACATGCCACAGGACTTGCGACTTGGGAGACTGGGGACATGCTTCAGAATGCAATCCTAGACTGTAAACATATGACATGAGATGTCTTGAAATCACAGCTACTGGGGAATGGGGCAACAGAGGAACACCGGCTAGTGTCTGTAGAGGAACACCCCAGAGGACCATACAAAGTTCCAAAGAAGTGAATGCAGCAAGGTTGCACACAAGGGGTGTACAGGATCAGCATGTCCCGGTACCCGGATGAATGAAGTCCTCTGTGCAGGGGCGGGAGTTACTTCCTTCTGGCCAATCAAGGTTACAGACTGAAGCGGGGGGGGGGGGGGGGAAAGGGGCGGGAAGATGCTTACAGGGGGCACAGAGGACATGACTGGAAGGTATTGGGGGGTTAGTTCTGCCCTGATGCTGCAGAACATATAGATCTGGTGGCTGTGATTGGACATTTTGGTGAACATTGGAGCTCTTGAAGATGTTCCTGAGAGCCCCACATCCCATCTAGAATCACAGGGAGGGCGGTGACTGCTCTGCCTGCCCCCAATCACTACAGAGGATAACAATAATGATGATAATTTGGGGGGGGGGGGGGGTGGAGGTGTGACATGTGCTCAGTATACAGAGAGGAGGGACACCTCCAGGGACTCAGCCTGCTGAGCCCCCCCAGTAGAGCAGTCATTCTGAGCCCCACCCCCTCACTTCCACATAAGGACAGGTGCAGGAGGACACAGAAATCCGACCCCTCCCTCCCCCCCAACACTGACAGCCGGGTACTCCTCCCAGCCCCGGGTGGCTATCAGTGGGCACCGTGCCTTCCCGGACCAGCCCGCCCTGTCCCAGGCCTGAGCAGGCCCCCTCATCCCCGCTCTATGCTGCATACCTGTACGGACCAGATCCGCCTCCGGGGCCGACGAGCCTGACAGGAAGTTCTGATGCCACAGCTCACCTCTATCCAGAGAGGGGGAGGCCTGGGCCGCCTCACGTGACGCAAACAAGGGCGAGGTTTCGGTCAGGCCGCACTTCGGATTGGATGAGTTGTGGCTCCCCGGGCAGTGCATTGTGGGAGTTGTAGTTCCGGGAGATGCCGGGGGATACAGAGGGGGGGAGAGGTCTTTCGAGGCGATGGCTGAGTTATATTTAGACTCGGTGGATATCAGTGAGCATTTGGACGTGTTCTTCCCCCGGCCAGTCTCACACAGGGCAGACAACTACCCATACAACGTGTCCCCAAAGAGGGACAACTTCCCAGTGACACCGGCTTCCTGTGTCATGTCCAGCCTGACTTCACACCTACATCAGGGCTCCTCAGCATTACACAGAAAGTCTTCCTGCCCCAACAGTAAGACTCCATTCATACTTGTGCGACTTACCATGCGACTTTGGACAAGGTTGCATTCAAGTTGATGAGCCCATGGATTTCAATATATGCGGCTTAAGGTCACAGGGACTTTAAAAAGTTTCCCGCACTACTTTGATGCGACTTTCATGCAACTTGAGTGCCATAGATGGCAATTTAGTTGCATGAAAGTCACATCTTAGGCTCCATTCACACTTGTACGACTCTAAAGTTGTGCGACTTTGGATGGGTGCAACTTGGATGTGATTTGCCCCTCTGCAGGCCACTGTTGCATGTAAAACACTCAGGTATGACTTTCATGAAACGTTTGAGGGTTAACACAGAATCTATGGCCCTCAAGTTGAATGAAAGTCAAATCAAAATAGTGCGTAAACTACTATGAAGTTGCTGTAACTAAATCGCACATATATGAATGGTTATCATTGGAATACATGGGGTATGACTTGTCATGCGACTCTGATGTCCAAAGTCACACAAGTGTGAATGGGGTCTTAATGTTATCAATGCGATAGATGTGCCAAAGTCACATCCGAGTCGCACCCATCCAAAGTTGCATTAAAGTCGTAATGGAGTTGCAAAAGTGCGAATGGAGATTAGAAAACAAACTTTATACTCACGCAGAAAGGCTGGACATACATTATACAAATTTCTTGAGAATTTTGCTTTAGAATTACCAAAAACTGTTTAATATGAGGTCAAACCTAAATAACACTTTCAATTGTTTCCAGTTAGACAGGCCCCTGCACTACATAGTTCAAGGTAAATCTAAAGGAAATTGGGCAGAAATCTGTATAGTGTATGGCCAGCCTAAGTCTGGCTTCACCAGGGGCGGACTGACAACTCATGGGGCCCCCGGGCAATAGGGGATCATGGGGTCCCTGTGTCCTTGCCCAAACTCAAAAAAGCCTATGAAAAAGGTACCAGGGATATCTCATGGGCCCCCTACTGACCCCGGGCCCTCAGGCAGTGCCTGAGTTTCCAAATGGTCAGTCCGCCCCTGGGCTTCACATCTATGGGGTGGCAGTACTGTGCAATTTGGCACATGCTAAAACATGCTGTGTGTTTGTGTGTGATACACCTCAATCCACACTGCTCCTGCGCCTGCGCCTGCCATCCTCGCTTCCTCCTGTGGGACCCGCCTAGAGCGCCAGCCACGCAACACCTTGGCATTACAGCCATCCATTTGTGAGGTGCAGCACAGATGACATCCTCCTCCTTATATATTGATGCCGGATATCTACCCACGTCTTGTGAGTTTTTATAATCTTGTGTGCAATAAACTTTTATATTCATACTGCACTTAGTCTGGCGCACTTCTCTTTCTTCTCCATTTACCAGTGTCATCCATTCAGTCACAGAAAAAAGGGATTCAGTTTACTTCAGTTAACATCTGGTTTTGCATCCATCTCCAGTTCAGTTTGCATCAGTGTGCATCCCTTAGCATTTCAGTTCCAGTCTAGAATGGTCCCTTTCACACAAATGTTCTGATCGGGTGGGACCAAAATGGGAAGGCCCAGGAAAAAAATAGAAAAATTAGAAAAAAAACTTTTTTTTTTTCCAAAGCAGTTTTCTGGAAAAAATGAAAAAAAGGAGTGCAGAATATGTTCTTTTACAATTAATATAATGTATCTATGACATGGTATTCACACTATAAAACATGAAGACCTTAATAAAAAAAAATGTCTGAGACTTTATGTAAAGTCATAAATTATTGCAAGTTCTCTCTGCTGAAGATGAGAAAATCCTGGAATACAATTCAAGTAACTCTGTACTTCTCAATGCAGTTCTCAAACAAGAAAAATAAGTGCTTCTGCCATTAGGTGGCACTGCAGAGGAAGGCTCCAGTTTAGTTTGCTTGTAGGCTCCATCTTGTTCCTCCTACAGTTGGGTGATTGTTGGGATACAGTAGATGTTAGTTTCTGTCCTTTCAGGCCTTAACTGACAGGTAAGAGAGTACATTTATCTGACAAATGCATTTATCCTTATAACCTTTAATTGATTAGTATTAATGTTTTCCACCATCACAGCATAATGTCTCCCTATAGTCTCAGTAAATTGGCTTTTTTTTCCTCCTCTCAGTAAAATAGTGAGACCAATATCTAGAGTTTGGAGACATTTCCATAGTGCAGTTTCTGCTGAGAGCAAAGCTGCAATTTGCGAATATTGTGAGAAGAAATATTCTTTTCCAAATGCTACAAGGATGACAAAACACATCCTAGCATTCCAGAGGTGTCCTAAGGACATTGAAAAATACTTTATGAAATGATGAGGACCAGAATGAAAGTGCAAATAACTTTTTCTCTCCAGAGTTCTCATTCCAGAAACACGCTTTCTGCTGCTTCTGGATCATCACAAAGTGTTTCTTCACCATCAGCATCTTTAAGTAAAGAAGGGTTACAAACCATGGCCTCCCAAAAATACACAATCGCTTCATTTATAGATAAAATGACACCTGAAGAGGACACCTGACAGGAGAACATTGATCAAGCTCTTCATAGAGCAATATACAGTGAATATAAAAAGTCTACACGCCCCTGTTAAAAATGTTAGGTTTCTGGGATGTAAAAATTTGAGACAAAGATAAATAATTTCAGAACTTTTTCCACCTTTAACGTGACCTATAAACTGTACAACTCAGTTTAAAAACAAACTTAAATCTTTTAGGGGGGATGTAGCTGTGTTCAGAATTAAGCAATCATATTCAAAATCATGTTAAAAGGAGTCAGTACACACCTGCCATCATTTAAAGTACCTCTGATTAACCCCAAATAACGTTCAGCTGTAGGTCTTTCCTGACATTTTCTTAGTTGCATCTTACAGCAAAAGCCATGGACTGCAGAGAGCTTCCAAAGCATCAGAGGGATCTTATTGTTAAAAAGTATCAGTCAGGAGAAGGGTACAAAACACTTTCCAAAGCATTAGATATACCATGGAACACAGTGAAGACAGTCATCATCAAGTGGAGAAAATATGGCGCAACTGTAACATTACTATGAACTGGACATCCCTCCAAAATTGATGAAAAGACGAGAGGTCTGTAACTGAGAGGTCTGTAATTGGCATCATAGGTAGACCTCAACTATGAGAGACAAAATGAGAAACAAAATCCAGACAATCACCTTCATTGCCCGGGCAGTATGTTTGGGATCATTGTCATGTTGGAAGACCCAGCCACGTTTCATCTTCAGTGCCCTTGCAGATGGAAGGAGGTTTGCACTCAAAATCTCACGATACATGGCCCCATTCGTTCTGTCCTGTACATGGATCAGTCGTCCTGGTCCCTTTGCGGAGAAACAGCCCCAAAGCATGATGTTGCCACCCCCATGCTTCACAGTAGGTATGGTGTTCTTTGGATGCAACTCAGCATTCTCTCTCCTCCAAACATGACAAGTTGTGTTTCTACCAAACAGTTCTATTTTGGTTTCATCTGACCATATGACATTCTCCCACTCCTCTTCTGGATCATCCAAATGCTCTCTAGCAAGCTTCAGACGGGCCCGGACATGTACTGGCTTAAGCAGGGGGACACGTCTGGCACTGCAGGATCTGAGTCCCTGGCGGCGTAGTGTGTTACTGATGGTAGCCTTTGTTACGTTGGTCCCAGCTCTCTGCAGGTCATTCACTAGGTCCCCCTGTGTGGTCCTGGGATTTTTGCTCACCGTTCTTGTGATCATTTTGACCCCACGGGGTGAGATCTTGCGTGGAGCCCCAGATCAAGGGAGATTATCAGTGGTCTTGTATGTCTTCCATTTTCTAATTATTGCTCCCACAGTTGATTTGTTTCACACCAAGCTGCTTGCCTATTGCAGATTCAGTCTTCCCAGCCTGGTGCAGGTCTACAATTTTGTTTCTGGTGTCCTTCGACAGCTCTTTGGTCTTCACCATAGTGGAGTTTGGAGTGTGACTGTTTGAGGTTGTGGGCAGGTGTCTTTTATACTGATAACAAGTTCAAACAGGTGCCATTGATACAGGTAATGAGTGCAGGACAGAGGAGCCTCTTAAAGAAGAAGGTACAGGTCTGTGAGAGCCAGAAATCTTGCTTGTTTGTAGGTGACCAAATACTTATTTTCCACCATAATTTGCAAATAAATTCTTTCCAAATCAGCCAATGTGATTGTCTGGATTTTGTTTCTCATTTTGTCTCTCATAGTTGAGGTCTACCTATGATGCCAATTACAGGCCTCTCTCATCTTTTTAAGTGGGAGAACTTGCACAATTGGTGGCTGACTAAATACGTTTTTGCCCCACTGTAGGCTCTGCAGGAATATCTGGCAAATACTGGCTGTGTGGCACATGTGACAACAATCTCCTGTATTCTTCATATGTCTGGACTATGGAGTAGAGTGGCAAGAAGGAAATCTTTTCTTACAAAGAAAAACATCCAAGCCCAGCTAAATTTTGCAAGAAACATATCTGAAGTCTCCCAAAAGCATGTGGGAAAATGTGTTATGGTCTGATGAAACCAAGGTTGAACATTTTGGCCATAATTCCAAAAGATATGTTTGGCGCAAAAACGACACTGCACAAAACCAAAACAACACTGCACATCACCAAAAGAACACCATACCCACAGTGAAGCATGGTGGTGACAGCATCATGCTTTGGGGCTGTTTTTCTTCAGCTGGAACTGGGGCCTTAGTCAAGGTAGAGGAAATTATGAACAGTTCCAAATACCAGTCAATATTGTCACAAAACCTTCAGGCTTCTGCTAGAAAGCTGAACATGAAGAGGAACTACATCTTTCAGCATGACAACAAGCCAAAGCATACAGCCAAACCAACAAAGGAATGGCTTCACCAGAAGAAGATGAAAGTTTTGGAATGGCCCAGCCAGAGCCCAGACCTGAATCTGATGGAAAATCTGTGGGGTGATCTGAAGAGGGCTGTGCACAGGAGATGCCCTCGCAATCTGACAGATTTGGAGTGTTTTTGCAAGGAAGAGTCGGGCAAATACTGCCAAGTCAAGATGTGCCATGCTGATAGACTCATACCCAAAAAGACTGAGTGCTGGAATCAAATTAAGAGGTGCTTCAACAAAGTATTAGTTTATGGGTGTGCACACTTATGCAACCATATTATTTTACTTTTTATTTTTACTTCCCTCCACCTAAAAGATTTCAGTTTGTTGTTCAACTGGGTTGTACAGTTTATAGGTCACATTAAAGGAGGTAAAAGTTCTGAAATGATTTATCTTTGCCTAATTTTTTTTACATCACAGAAACCAAACATTTTAACGGGTGTGTAGACTTTTTATATCCACTGTATGCTTCTAGTTCAGCATTGGCGATAACTGAAAATGCATTATGGAAGGAAGCTTTTACATTATTATGAGGGAAAGGGGGGTCCTTTTCTCATGTATAGTTGAAACATTCTTAACATATACAGTCATTGTTATTCTATTTGTAATAAAAAAAAATTTAAAAAAACAAAAGTTTAGTTTAATTATTGAATAAACTGTAGTTTTCTTTCAGGGGAAGTTCATACCACATGCAATCCAGTTCATTTTTTTCTGCATCAAAAACGCATTGATAGTAGGTTTTATGTTTTCCAATGGCATAGTTCACACCAGTGCGGTCAGTTCCAGTGAGTTCCAGTTCCAGAAAAATAGAACATGCTGCATTATTTCTGCACTGAACTGTAGTGGAAGGCAGTATAACACACCAAGCATGTACAGGAATGAACATGTGCTTATTTAAGTTGAAGAAAAAGAGATGGGAAAAATTAAATGGAACACATCATAAACGCAACAGGAAACATAAAAAACGTGCATACAGAAACGCAACCGAACTGCATCTCGATGGTGTGAACCTGCCCTCAATCATAATACTTTTATATACTCCTGTGTAGCGCCCTCTTGTTTGCATAGTTCATTGGTGTAGTTAGAGGCTTGCTAGAAGCCCGGATGTAAGTCAGAGGGT